ATCAAACTCTCCACTCCAAAGTACCCCGCAGAGATCCAGAACCATGGGCCTTTATAACATCGGTCTCTTCCAGCTAGAGCTGACGTTCTCAGGAGTGTGGGCCCTGCCACAGACAGCTCTGCATGAAATAGGAACAAACAGAGTTATGGAATCGCCGAGCCTAGAGGGAAATCGGAGCTGGTTTTAGTCCCTTGTTCTCAAAGCACAGTCTAAGGTGGGACCACCAGGGAGCTTGTTAGAAATGCGGAGTCTCAGGGGTGCCCGGCCGCCTCAGTCTATAGAGCATGCAGCTCTTGATCTGGGAGGTCGCGAGTTCGAGCCCCACCTTGCATGTAGAGATTACTTTAAAAAAAATTAAAAATGAATAAAAAATAAAAACAGAAGAAGAAATGCAGAGTCTCAGGCCCTAGAGGAAACTGATGAAGCAGAATTGCATTTCACGAGATCCCTGGTATATATATACAACTTTTTAATCCATTCATCTGTTAGAGGATTAGATCGTTTCTGTGTCATGGCCGTTGTAAATAATGCTGCAGTGAACATGAGGGTGTAGACATCTCTTTGAGATCCTATTTTCGTCTCCTTTGAATATACACCCCAAAGTGGGATCGCTGTACATAGGGTAGTTCTATTTTTAATTTTTTGATTTTCCACAGTTGGAAAAAGTTACCTGTCGCAATTTGCATTCTTACCAACGGTGCACAGGGGTTCCTTTATCTCCACATCCAAAAGTTGTACACACACATACACACACACACACACACACACACACACACGCACGCACACCCCACAATGGAATATTATTCATCCATGAGAGAGAAGGAGGTCCTGCCATTCGCAACAATGGCATTGTGCTAGGTGTAATTAGACAGAGAAAGACAAATACTATATGATATTACTGATATGTGGAGTCTAAAAAAGCCAAACTCAGGTCATGATCTCACAGTCTGTGGGTTCGAGCCCTGCATTGGGCTCTGGGCTGACAGCTCAGAGCCTGGAGCCTGCTTCCAATTCTGGGTCTCCCTCTCTCTGTGCCCCTCCCCCACTTGCTCTCTGTCTTTCTCTCTCTCCCTCTCCCTCTGCCTCTCCCCACACACTCTCTCTCAAAATAAATAAATGAACATTAAAAAAATAATAAAAATAAAAAAGCCAAACTCCTAAAAGCAGAGAGCAGAGAGGCTGGGGGTGGGGGAATTGGGGAGATGTCAATTAAGGAGACACATTTGGAACTAGTAGATAAGTCCTCTTAAAGGACTTCACAAACTTCAAAGTTGCTAAAAGACAAGATCTTAATTGTTCCCACCGCAAAAAAGAAATGATAATTACGTCACCTTGTAGAGGTGGCACTTAACTCTACGGGGGTCATCATATTGCAAAATATAAACGTATCAGATCGACACACGGCACATCTTAGATTCATATAAAGATAAATTTAAAATTAAATAAACAAGATTCCTGGGTGATTTGAGAAATGCTGTCCTGGTCCAACGCCCTCATCTGGATTGGCTGCGGAGGAAAGTGAGGATCAGAGAGGGGCACGGTTTGTCCCAGGTCACACAGCCTGTCGGGAGCAGAGCCTAGACGAGGACCCAGGCTTCCTCGCTGCTAGTCCTTCCCATGTTCCTATGGCTCTATGTCTCCAGCACACGCTGCTTCCTCCTCCCGGACTGCCCTACTGCTCTCTCCTCTGCAAAACCTCAGTGTGACCGGCAGGACGCGGCAGGATGCTACCTTTCTAAGAAGCCTTCCTCGGTGGCCCGCCGAGACTCCCTTGGGGGCAGAGCACGGGTCACTGTGTATTTTTAGTGCCGTCTTTTGCAGCCGAGTCTCCCCACAAAAGGCCCGTACAGACTTTGGAAAAGAATTCAAAGCTTTCCACAAGAGAAAGGCATTTGCTACAGATCAATAAATGCGGGAGAAATGCTCAGGGTGGTAATGGTGCCCATCGGGGCCCAGGCAGGAAAAAAGAGTCCGACTCAGATGGTTCTCGGGATTTGAATTAAGGGGCTATTTATAGAGGTAAGGGACAGGCTTAAGGACACCGGCAAAAGATGCTGAGGCCCCCAGGAGCTAGCATCCCTGGATCCTGGCTTAAAGCAGCAAAGAAAGGGGTCCGGTGTCCAAGCCCAGGGAGGGCTAGAGCCACTTTCGGGTGGAAGGGACACAGCCACTGTCAGACTGAGATCCAAAGCAAAGAGCGAGCGGACAAGTGCCCTATTCCCTCTCTCTTCCAGACCTCTGACTTCCTGCCATACGGCCCTTTGGCTGAGCCCAGCTACAAAGGAGGAAACTGAGTCACAGAGTGCCCAAGGTCACGCAGGGGGCAAGTCAGGATTCAACCCAGGCCGTCTGGAGCCAGAGTCCACACCCCTAACCATTATGCTGCTTCCTGCTTCCCGTTCGTTCCCTCTTTCAACAATGACCCGCTATGTGCTGCTCAGTCTCCAGGCACTGCGGTTTCCAAATGCTGGGTTTTCCAAACTCTTTCAACCTGTCCTTACGAGAAGGGAGGGCGCTCTCACTGCTGTGGGACTTGGCAGTGGCAGGAGCTCAGTGGCACCCATCACTGTCACGGAAGCGGATGGACAGCCTGGGAGAAGAAAGGCCCGGGGGATCTGAGCAGTGTTGGAATCACGCTGGCCCCAGGAGCCTCTGATGGGTTCTGGGTCACCAGCAGGGACCTTGAGCGGGGGGTGGGAACCCATGGGGGTGGAGGCCTGGCCCGGGACCGTGGGGCATGTGGCTGGCTGGGTAGGTCTAAGGTCCAAGGGTCACTGCTGTGGGAATTCCCACTTCTGCAGACGGCCCCCAGCCAGGGACATCCTCAGACTCCTGCCATAGAAGGAGTGACACCTGTGTCCCCAGGAGGTCCCCACTCTCCAGACTGTCCCCCCCTACTCCACATGGGAGTCACCCGTTCTGTCCCCGTCCTTTTACAGAGGCAAACTGATGCACCAGGAGGACACGGACTTCAGGCTTGCCGTGGGTCATGCCAGGCAGGAGCTGAGCCACGTCAGACCCCGGGTTCCCAGCTCCCGGCCCAGGACCCTTCCCCACCACCACAGGCTGAGTCCCGGAAGCAGGGCCCCCTGGCACGTCGGGGAGCCCTTGCTGGCAGGCTGCTTGCTTCTTCGCTCTCTGCTCAGCCTGAACTGGCTCTTCCAGAGCCTGGCCCTCTCTCATCCTTGGGGGCTCAGCTCAACACGTCACCTCAGAGAAGCCTTCCTTGACCATCGTATTGGAATGGCGCCCACAGATCTGGGTTCGAACCCCCGGCGGCTGACTGTGGCCAAAATCACCTCACCTCTCTGAGACTCGGATCTTTCCACTGAAGTGAGACTGAGACACCCGCGTTAGAGGGCCGACAGGTGCACACGACCCGCGCAGTGTCCCGCACAGGGCAGGAGCTCGCAGCCTCTCGTCCCTGCCCCGCCCTGCCCCAGGCTGCAGGGCTCAGGGATTCGGAAGCCTCGGCCCTGCCCTCAGGAGCACCCAGGCTGGGTCACAGGGGACAGAGGAGCCGAGAGGCCTGGGCCGGAGGCTTCCCCTGTGCTCATCGCAGAAAATTCTGATCCGAACCCCGATGCCAGTGCCTTTTATGACCCATTGGGAAGAAACTGTTCCTCCCACCACATTCGATCTGTTGAGGCGGTCACAGAGACCCGCCCAGGGTCAAGGGGAGGATATAGAGACTCCACGTTTTGATGGCGTGTATAAAAGAATTTGTGGACATATTTTTAAAGGACCACAATTACCAAGAAGCAGAGAGTGGTTAATGCTATGAGGGAGGAGGTGCAGATATTCTGGGACCTCAGAGGAGGACCTCTCTCTAATCCAGGGAAACGGGGGGGGGGGGGTTGATCAGGGAAGGCTTCCTGGAAGTGGAAGCAGAACAAAACTCACAAATATAGGATCCGTGGAGTGAGGGCGGGGAGAGGATCCTTATGTATTAAGCACAATCCCTACTATAAATTTTGTTCTCCAAAATGAAATGTTATGATCTTTACTTACTGCAGATGCAATGTAGCCCCAAGACAATAAAAATTTTGAATATCCACAAACAAAAAGATTTTCAAAACACGCAAAACCCTGCCCACCCAAACAGAGACAATTCCTCAAAACTCCTTGCTAAACATTTTCCAGACCGGCAAACGTGGGAACAGAACCTCACTCTGTGGTGTCATTGGAAACTGTCCCTCCTGAGCATCTTTCTGCATCAAGAAATAAATATACGGAATCAAGAAATACATTTACGATACATTCAAAGGAGGCATTACTTTCAATGTATGATAACTAGTTTGGCCAATCCCCTTTTGTTGGACACTCCGGCTTGGGTCCACTGCCCCCTTGCCTGTTTCATGCCGCACAGCAATGAGCATTTTGTTGCGGTGACATATGTCACGCTGACTTTGATTATGTACTTACGTTCCGGAAGTGGCACTGCGGCTTACCGGGAATGCAAGCGTTTAGAGATTTGCCAAGTTGCCTTCCAGAAAATTTTACCACCAGCAAGGTTTGAGAAAGCCCATTTTTCCGTGGGGGCGTGGGGGAAAGATTTCTTCATACTCAACCCTGTTTATTTAAAACGAGAGGAAAGAATTTGGGTGGTGCCCGACCTGGCTCGGACTCCCAGCTCCGCTACCTGTCAGGTGTGTGACCTTGAGGGACGGACGTGGCCTCTCTGAGCCTCGGTTTCCTAGTCTGTAACATCGGGCCTTCCTAGCAATGCATGTGGGGTCTTTCTGTGGGAAGGGTGGACGGAGATTGTCACCCAGGGTCAGGCCAACCCACCCTCTGACCCGGGACAGCAGCAACCACCTTCTAAGCATGACCCATGACCCCAGCAATGTTGCAAGCCAGTTCCAGTCTCTGTACCTCCCATTCCCGTTGCCCCGAACCGGATCCCAGGAACCCGCCCCCACTCGGGAGCCACCCCTGCCCCAGCCCTCCTGCTATATGGGAGCCGGACCCGGCCTGGGCCACTCCACTGGGAATCCAGGATGAGGGCCTTGGCCGGGGCCCTGCCCTCTCTACTGCTGAGGTTGCTGCTTACATCCTCCCCTGAGGCCCTGGGTGCCAACCCCGGCCTGGTCACCAGGATCACTGACAAGGGACTAGAGTACGGTAAGAAGCTGAGGCTGTTGGCTGGACTGGGGACCCGCTGGGCACCAGGCTGCTCTGGGAACGGTGGAGGACACCAACGGGGTGCTCTCCCTCGGGGCGGCGAGCCGAGGTCAGGCCTTGTCACCCGCCTGCTGTGCCACTCGGGCGCGTTATTTGTCTGAGCCAGGGGTCTCCCCACTAGCCAACAGGGATAAGGATTTAGAGCAAGCAGTTGATTTGGGGGAGGATGCCAGGAAACAGCACAGGAGAGTGGGAACGTGAGATGAGAGAGGAAAGGCAGCCGGGGGACAGGAGAGGTGACTGGGACAAGTCCCCTGGAAGGTTCTTGGTAGAGCTTGGAAACCTCTGTCTGAAATCCAGAAGTCAGAATGGCGGTTGCCTCCAGAGAAAGACAGTGACCCGGAGGGGACGGGAGGGAGCCCGCCGGGTGCTGGGAATGTGCTCTGGGTGGTGGTTACACGCGTATAGGAACATTGAAGAATTACCCGGCAATGCCTTGCATCTATGTCATAGCTCACTCTTAAAAGAATGAGAAGTAGGACTGCTTTGCTGAAGCCAAGCGTCAAAATTAACCCATCCAAGGGCCAGGGTGCTGAGGTATTTATACACCAGTCCCCACAGTCACCGCACGGCTGTCCTCACATCCATGGAGCCTCAATTGCCTTTTCTGTTAAATGGGGTGATAATGTTCCCTCAGGCAGGGCTGTCGGGAGACGAGAAAAGGAAATCAGGGAAGGCTTCTTGGAGGAGGTTGGGGGGGGCACAAAAGGTGAGTGGGAATTAACCAGGGACGAGGGGTAGCATTCTGGCAGAAGGCCCGGCACACGCACTCACTAGAGACAGGGGTGCAGCTGGAAAAAGGGAAGACCACTGGTCCTCTGTGCACACATGCCGTCCTTGAGGACAGAACCCTGGGTCCCTCGTGTACCCGAGCAAAGGGGCCTGGTAAATGCTGTGTGTTTTGAAACCCTAAGTCAGGCAAAATTTGCCTTTGGTTCCTTTCCGCTGTGTGAATGTATCATGTTTACTTAGGCCAATCGTCTAGAGTTGGACATTTTGGTCCTTTCCATATTTTTAGAACATAAACCCTGCTTTGCTGCTCCGGGGCCTTTCCTGAGCACCTGCTATGTGCACCACACCCCAAGCTAGGAGTGCTTGTTGTCTGCCCCCGGCCCCTCTTTGCTCTGCAAGGATCTCCTGTAATCCTCATGCCAGCTCCGAGAAGAGAGTTCTGTTACCATTGCCGTGGAGAAAGTGAAGGCTGAAGGCTTGCTCAAGGTCAGCCAGGTAGAAAGACATCAATGCCGGGATTCCGTCCCTAAGTCTTTACATCTAGCACAGGCTAGATGCCGGGAAGGACAGGACAGAGGACCACCCACCCACACCCACAGCACTCCTCCCTTGGTGGGGTTGCTGACAAAGACACTGTTTCCTCACCCATCAGCTGGGCACCCACGTAACAGCACCACGTGAAACGGGGTGATGCTCCTGTTTCCTGAAGTCACGTGGTACGCAACAGGGGCTCAACATTCTGTAACTGTCATTAATACTTACAAGGAAGTCGGCCTGTCTCCCTAGAGCAAGTGGGAGCCACTGAAGGGTTTAGAGGGGAGGCAGGCAGGCAGGCCAGGCTGACTCATAGCTTTTTCCTGTCCACAGTGGCCCACGAGGGATTGGTGACCCTGCGGGAGGAACTGCTCGGAATCACGCTGCCTGACTTCACCGGGGACTTCAAGATCAAGCCCTTCGGCCGTGGGCGCTACGAGTTCCATAGGTGGGACCTTCCTTCTGCAGGGGCCCTGAGAGGGTGGGGAGGGGTGGGGGTCAGCAGGGGAAAGAGAACCCCAGAACCTCCCTGGGGCAGCAGTGGGAGAGTTCATTGCAGCATTCAGAGGGAGGTCCTGGGGAGGAGTTGTGTTCCTCCATTCATTCATTCATCCAATAAATATCAAAGAAGACCCACCAGCTGTGTGACCTGAGCCTCAGTTCCCTTATCTATAAAATGGGGATGACACTGTGATAATCTAGGCTCCAGTCTGGCCCCTGGATGTAGTCTGGAAGGGAAAATAGACCTTAAACTTTAAAGACATTAGCCCAGCTCTTAGAGCTGAGGGTTGTACATCCGGGGGAGTCAAGGAAGGCTTCCCAGAGGAGCCGGCATTGGAGCTGAGCCTTCAGAGGATCGTTAGACATGAGCAGCTGATGCCAAAAAAGGGCATGAAATGCTTGTTGAGGCACAGCCAATGGAGGAGGGCAATCCAGTCACAGCTCATCACCCCCTCCCTGCCCGCTACCACTGATGGCTTCATTCTTTCTTTCTTTTATTCAGTCCATCAGCAAACATTTATTGAGCACCTACTATATGCCGGACAAATAAAATGAAACGACCATTGTTTTCCCACTGACGGCCCCACGATATGTGTCCTCTTGGTTTGCTTCTCCCAGCACTCTGTGTCTTTTCTTGAGGCTGGCCCCAGCCTTCCCTGGATCTGATCCCTCAACCCGGATCTGTCAAGGGAGCTGCAAAATGCAAAGGGGTGTGCCTGTGGGCCCAATTCCAGATCCTACCCAGGACCATGAGATTCATGGGCTCTGATCCCAGCTGCGTGACTTTGGGCAAGTGCGGCCCTTTCAAGAGGTTCTATTTCCCCCTCTGTAACAAGGGAACGAGGACAGTGCTGTCCCCTTTGAGAGGCCTAAGTGACATAAGGGATGGAACACGCTTAGCATGGCCGCACAGTCAGGGGGAGCCACACGCCTGCCCGAAGCAGGCTCTGCCCGCCAAGTCCCTGTGGGGCGGGGGTAGGGGGTGGTGGAGGTCGGAGCAAGAGCCCTGCTGAGGAGGGACCCAAGCTGGGGCTGACATGGCACTCCGTGCCTCTCTTTCCTCAGCCTGCAGATTCACAGCTGTGAGCTGCCTGGCTCCACTCTGACACCCCTTCCCGGCCAGGGCCTGAGTTTCACCATCTCTGACTCCTTCATCAGAGTCCAGAGCGAATGGAAGTTGCGCAAATCTTTCGTGTAAGTAGACTCTGCTCCCAGGCTCTTGGGACCTTGGCCTTGGTCTTTCTCCCATCCTTCTTGGGTCCAAGGTATTCCCGGCTCATCAGAAAGGCCACTCGGTAGATGAAAGGAGCCCACAGGGGCCTGAGCCCTGGCTCTTGGTTAAGACTTAAGCTTTCCTGGTGGGGTTATGGGCGAGCTGAATGAGAGAATGCTGTTTCTTTTCGGTTTGCTTTCCCCAGGAGCAGACCCCAAGGCTAGAATTCAAGTGCAAGAACTTTACCTGGGAAATGACCAAAGGAAGCCGTCCGTGGGGGTGGAGAAGGGAGGCAGGGAGGGAAGGAAGTCAGCCTGGCAGCTGATGGGAGTTCAGCCCTCCTGGGGACTTCTGGAAGCCATGCAGGCAGAGCAAACCTCTGAGTTTCCCCAACTCAGCCATTATGACCCCTTCTTCCTTATTTGCTGTTGATCAAGGGCAGCTCCCAGGGGCACAAAATCTCTGGCTCTTTGAACTGTTCTCTGACCTCCAAGGTCCTTGGATGGAAGGTGGATGAGTCTACTTGGGCTGCCGTAATGAAATAGCACAGACTAGGTGGCTTAAACAACCCTTCCGGAGGCCGGAAGTCCAAGATCAAGGTGTCAGCAGGCCTACTTTCTCCCGGGGCCTCTCTCCTTAGCTTGCAGACGGTGACCCTCTGGCTGTGTCCTCACATGGTGGTCCCTCTGTGTGCAGGCACCCCGGGTGTCCCTCTGTGTCCTCTTTTCAGTGTGTGCTTTTCCTATGAACACACCAGTCACATCGGATTCGGGCCCACCCTAATGGCCTCATTTTTTTTTTTTTTAAGTTTATTTTTTTTTAAGTAATCTCTACACCCAACATGGGGCTGGAACTCACAACCCTTAGATCCAGAGCTGCACGCTCCACGGACTGAATCAGTCAAGCATCCCCCTAATGGCTTCATTTTAATATCATCACCTCTTCAAAGGCTCTGTCTCAAATGTAGTCACATTCCGAGGTCCTGGGATTCAAGCCTTCAACATTTGAATTTGGGGTGGGGACACACAATTCAGCCCATAACAGGGAGGTTGACCAGTCTCTTCTGGATGACCTGACTGTATTGATACTTTAGACCTGCGCTGTCCAATATGGTAGCTTCTAGCCACGTGTCTTTCCAGAGTACCTGAAAAACAGCCAAGGGCGCCTGGGTAGTTCTGTCGGTTGGGCGTCTGACTCTTGGTTTGGGCTCAGGTCATGATCTCACAGTTTCGTGAGTTTGAGCCCCGCACCGGGCTCTGCGCTGGCCAGGAGGCTGCTTGGGATTCTCTGTCTCCCTCTCTCTCCGCCCCACCCCCACTCGCACTGTCTCTGTCTCTCAAAATAAATAAGTAAACTTTTAAAAAAGAAGAAGAGGGGCGCCTGGGTGGCGCAGTCGGTTGAGCGTCCGACTTCAGCCAGGTCACGATCTCGCGGTCCGTGAGTTCGAGCCCCGCGTCGGGCTCTGGGCTGATGGTTCAGAGCCTGGAGCATGTTTCGGATTCTGTGTCTCCCTCTCTCTCTGCCCCTCCCCCGTTCATGCTCTGTCTCTCTCTGTCCGAAAAATAAATAAATGTTGAAAAAAAAAATTTTAAAAAGAAGAAGAAGAAAAGAAAAGCGGCTGGTACCAGTTGAGATCTGCTGTAAGTGTGAAACACCAGATTTGAGGATTCGGTACAAGAAAGAACATAAGAAATCCCATGAATGATTTTTATGTTGTCATATGTTGAAATGATAATATATGCTGTTAAAATTAATTTTAGCTCTTTCATTTTGCCTTTTTAAATGTGGCTACTAGAAATGTTTTAATTAGGGGCGCCTGGGTGGCGCAGTCGGTTGAGCGTCCGA